ACAGAAGTAGAGTTGTATAGCCCAGTAGATCACGTGTTTGCGTCTGAGTTCGCATATCTATGCTTCGTGTCCCCCTATGGTCGCTGATGAGGAGGCCATGAGTGCTTAAGGCTGTTGAGGATTCTTGAGATCAGAACTGTGTTTTGGGAGCTATGGCCAAGGCATGATGTACCATAGGCAACCATACTCAAGTAATCCAGATTGACACCGATTGTGGAAACATACTGAAGTGGTTTGTCTTCATTATCCCAACTTGCTCCTCCTGTCAGACGACCTTGGCCAGAGTCTTCCACCTTAGTAGTCATGCTAAGAATGGTGAAGAGGCTAACTGACGATGCCAGCTCCGAGGCCGCCGAATGTTCAAAATCTACTACTACGGCTTTCATCTATGTCACCCTGACAACAGAGTATAATTGCAAAAATGAGGTCAAACTATTGCTCTACAGAGAAACGAGACTGAGATTATAATAGGGGATACGCCACATTGGCTTAATTATTAGTGATTAAAATGGTAATATATTGTCAGACTACTTTCATTTCGTATTTGAGTAGAGTTTCAAACTACCAGTAAATCAGTAAAATGAGATGTATTCACCCAATTTAGATTATGAAGGGCTGGTAGTAGAATTTTCCCACAATAATATGAGTAGAGGTGACGTTTCCATTGAATTGCACAGAGCCTTGATTTCCAAAAAGTTGTTCTCATCCAGGCAAAAGAAGACTGCAGTTTCCACCTCGCATAGGTCTTATCAACACCCCCAGCGGGAGTCGAACCGTGACAGTGCAGAATGAGAGCAGAATGAGAGTGCAGAATGACACGTTACCGACTAGACGACATTGCTGCGAGTGCCCTTGGGTCACAGGGCAGATGTGAATTTCGAGGAAGGCCAGACCTTTTGCAATATTCTTTGGTGGGATTGTCGATGAAGCAAACGTATATTTGCTATAACAATCGACTACATTACTTATTTTTTGTATTTCAGTAGAGTTTCGAGACAGACCAACCGACTGACCAAAACACAGACAAACCAACCGAATAACCGATCGACCACAAGACAGACAAACCGAGAAACCAACCGACTGACCAAAATACAGACAAATCGACCGAATAACCGACCGACCACAAGACAGACGAACCGACCGACCACCCGACTGACCACAAGACAGACCAACCGAGAAACCAACCGACTGACCAAAACACTGGCAAACTGACCGAACAACCGAGAGACCAAAAGACAGACAAACCAAGAAACCAACCGTCTGAACAACCGACTGACCAAAAGACAGACAAACCGACCGAATAACCGACCGACCACAAGACAGACGAACCGACAAACCAACCGACCGACCACCCGACTGACCACAAGACAGACCAACCGAGAAACCAACCGACCGACCAACCGACTGACCAAAACACTGACAAACTGACCGAACAACCGACAAATCAAAAGACAGACAAACCGAGAAACCAACCGACCGACCAACCGACTGACCCAATGACAGATAAACCGACCGAACAACCGACCGAACAACCGACCGATCAACCGTCCGACATGCCGACTGACCAAAAGACAGGACAGGCGAGCGACAAACAGGAAGATCAACGGACCGAGCAACCAATTGTCCACACATTCTACCATCCGACCCTGACTCTCATGAGCCTGAATTTGGCAGGTCTCAAATTTCCCTCTCCACCCTATTCAGCAGATCGTCACTTGGACTGTTCATCCGACCGAGTGTTGTCTGGCCCATTCACTTGTCTCTTCTGCCGCCTGTCTCGCTCCTCCGCCACCCCGGTACAGGTGCACACTCAGGCTGGCATGGGCGCCTCTGCAGACTCGCACGAGAACAGACACCCGCCGAGCGAGAAACGAAAACACACGCTCTACCACAAACCGGCCTTAGGCGAGCCCGGCCGACCGAAATGGATGTACCTCCCGACGACTGGAGACCAGCGGCCAGCCATTTTGCAATAAAGCCGGCCTCGGGGACACATTATATACCCTTTCCTTTTATCGCATCCTCATGCTCGCCAGACCGGTTGGACATTTACAGACTAAAGCACAGACGTGCATATC